ACAAACCAATAGCCTCTGTACACTCCACCCTACAAACTGCCGCCCCTGTCCTCTGCCATGCCTACCCCCTGTACACTGCCCTACAAACCAGTAGCCTCTGTACATTGTCCTACAAACTGCTGCTCCCTCTCCTCTGCCATGCTGATCCCATACACTGCCCTACAAACCAATAGCCTCTGTACACTTCGCCCTACAAACTGCTGACCCTGTCCTCTGCCATGCTGATCCCATACACTGTCCTACAACCCAATAGCCTCTGTATACTCCCCCCTACAAACCAATAGCTTCTGTATACTCCCCCCTACAAACCAATAGCTTCTGTATACTCCCCCCTACAAACCAATAGCTTCTGTATACTCCGCCCTACAAACTGACCCTGTCCTCTGCCATGCTGACCCCATACACTGTCCTACAAACCAATAGCCTCTGTACACTGCGCCCTACAAACCAATAACCTCTGTACATTGTCCTACAACCTGCTGACCCTGTCCTCTGCCATGCTGACCCCGTACACTGCCCTACAAACCAATAGCCTCTGTACACTGCGCCCTACAAACTGCTGACCCTGTCCTCTGCCATGCTGACCCCCCGTACACTGTCCTACAAACCTCTGTACATTGTCCTACAAACTGCTGACCCTGTCCTCTGCCATGCTGACCCCATATACTGCCCTACAAACCAATAGCCTCTGTACACTGCGCCCTACAAACCAATAGCCTCTGTACTCTGCGCCCTACAAACCAATAGCCTCTGTACTCTGCGCCCTACAAACCAATAGCCTCTGTACTCTGCGCCCTACAACCCAATAGCCTCTGTACACTGCGCCCTACAAACCAATAGCCTCTGTACTCTGCGCCCTACAAACCAATAGCCTCTGTACTCTGCGCCCTACAACCCAATCGCCTCTGTACTCTGCGCCCTACAAACCAATAGCCTCTGTACTCTGCGCCCTACAAACCAATCGCCTCTGTACTCTGCGCCCTACAAACCAATAGCCTCTGTACTCTGCGTCCTACAAACCAATCGCCTCTGTACTCTGCGCCCTACAAACCAATCGCCTCTGTACATTGTCCTACAACCTGCTGACCCTGTCCTCTGCCATGCTGACCCCGTACACTGCCCTACAAACCAATCGCCTCTGTACATTGTCCTACAACCTGCTGACCCTGTCCTCTGCCATGCTGACCCCGTACACTGCCCTACAAACCAATCGCCTCTGTACATTGTCCTACAACCTGCTGACCCTGTCCTCTGCCATGCTGACCCTGTACACTGCCCTACAAACCAATAGCCTTTGTACATTGTCCTACAACCTGCTGACCCTGCCCTCTGCCATGCTGACCTCCCATCCTCTGCCCCCTCCCATTACATCTTTTCCTGCGCCCCACATCGGGGAGGCTAGATCTGGCCCTGATCAGCAGTGACAATGCTCATAGCCACACTCCCTGCAACATCTTGTCCTCCCACTGTAGTGGAAGCAGGAGAGTGACAACTCTGCTCTGAACTACTCAGGAGCAGTGCAGCATTGTTGCCACCCCATCACAGGAAGCTGCATTAGGTGGACTTCACTGGCAGGACCAATGGATATTTGTAGGAATTCTATAATGGACAACTTGACCCAGCAACTGCTCATTAACTTCAGTGTAGGGACGTGTCCTGGACCCTTGGTACCACTGAATCTGTTCAAATACCAGGACAGTCATGGGAGATTTAGGACAGTTGGGAGCAGAAGAATCTGAATGGCTGTTTTCTCATTCTGGTGGATCAATGAGGACTACAAAATATCCAGCCATTGATCAGCAGGTGAGGGACATTATTGAGCCATGGTGCATAACACGGTACAAACATCCATGGTGATTCATGAAGGACGTTCTGAGTCACACATTCCAGGAAAGGAATCCCTGACTTAATTGTCTTCAGTCTTCTCCCTCCTGGTAGTGAATAAATGTTCACCAGTTACACGGTCCATTCATCAAAGCCTTTACTATACACATAGAGTATTACGTTTTGCTTTAGGTAATGATTGCTTTCTGGTCCTGCACTGATTGCTCATCAAGTTATACTGTCTGCTATGTTAATAGGAAACGAACCAGGAATGCCACTAACCTCAGTGTCAAGGGAGCATTCTACAAATGTGGAGAGTTCTTAAACCTGAACTTTAATCTGCTTATATTTAAAATGTTTTTATAACAACCTATTTTAGATCCAGTGCCGTCATGACTGGGTTTCTGTGCTTCTCTGTGCAATGCAGGCAGATCATGGCTGGTGGGAGGGGCCGGAAGGGGGCTGTACATAGCTTTCTGAAAGCATCACAGCCTCAGTACTCCTCTCAGGAACCCTCTACCTCGATGCAATCAGTGGGCTGGAATAATGCAAATGTGCTCACAAATTATTTATTCAGTTATGCAAACAGATATAATTAAATACAGTAAAATTGGGACTCAGCGAGCGCTTAATGATAAAAGCAGCTAATGCACTAAAAAAGGAAACCGTATACCTTCTAGACAACAAATAAATACATATATGTGCAGCGCTAACAATGGATTCACGTAAATGACTATCATCTCAAGGATATATAAAGTGCTGATGATATTGAAATAAGGTGCTAATAATCCGGAATAAATACTTAATATATATAAAGTGATTTGTGACAACTAAATAAAGTGCTATTTAACCGGAAAAAAATGTGATATCATAAATAATGGTGGACTATCAAAGCAATGAATAAATAATTATGAACGTCCAAGCAGATGGAATTAAAGATAAATAAAAGTTCCAATAATCTGGACAAAGGTGAATCTTGTTATCCCAGTGGTATGCAATCAAATATTACCCCATCATTGGGCCCCATTGTTGGTGTCATTGGGAGGAATTGTACCCCATCACTGGGCCCCATTGTTGGTGTCATTGGAAGGAATTGTACCCCATCATTGGGCCCCATTGTTGGTGTCATTGGGAGGAATTGTACCCCATCATTGGGCCCTGTTGTTGGTTTCATTGGGAGGAATTGTACCCCATCATTGGGCCCCATTGTTGATGTCATTGGAAGGAATTGTACCCCATCATTGGGCCCCATTGTTAATGTCATTGGAAGGAATTGTACCCCATCACTGGGCCCCATTGTTGGTGTCATTGGGAGGAATTGTACCCCATCATTGGGCCCTGTTGTTGGTTTCATTGGGAGGAATTGTACCCTATCATTGGGCCCCATTGTTGATGTCATTGGGAGGAATTGTACCCTATCATTGGGCCCCATTGTTGATGTCATTGGAAGGAATTGTACCCCATCATTGGGCCCCATTGTTGATGTTATTGGAAGGAATTGTACCCCATCATTGGGCCCCATTGTTGATGTCATTGGAAGGAATTGTACCCCATCATTGGGCCCCATTGTTGATGTCATTGGAAGGAATTGTACCCCATCACTGGGCCCCATTGTTGGTGTCATTGGGAGGAATTGTACCCCATCATTGGGCCCTGTTGTTGGTTTCATTGGGAGGAATTGTACCCCATCATTGGGCCCATTGTTGATGTCATTGGAAGGAATTGTACCCCATCATTGATGTCATTGGAAGGAATTGTACCCCATCATTGGGCCCTGTTGTTGGTTTCATTGGGAGGAATTGTACCCCATCATTGGGCCCCATTGTTGATGTCATTGGAAGGAATTGTACCCTATCATTGGGCCCCATTGTTGATGTCATTGGAAGGAATTGTACCCTATCATTGGGCCCCATTGTTGATGTCATTGGAAGGAATTGTACCCTATCATTGGGCCCCATTATTGATGTCATTGGAAGGAATTGTACCCCATCATTGATGTCATTGGAAGGAATTGTACCCTATCATTGGGCCCCATTGTTGATGTCATTGGAAGGAATTGTACCCCATCATTGGGCCCATTGTTGATAGAAATAGTGCCCCAAAAGCAAGCAAAAGGTCGCATCTGGCCCCAGGGCCCCTAAACCACTGCTCTAGCTTACATCTGAGCAATGTTACTTTGTATTTCTCTATCTGGCATGTGAACAGTATTTTCTGACAGCAGCTTTTACAGCTACTGTACGTACACAGCCTGTCATTTTGACATCCAGGAATTGCCGGCAAGGAGGGGGGGCAGCAGTGGGACAGAAGGATCGGACGTACCGCTCACGCCCTGTCTACTTCCATGAAGTCTTTTGGGCGTGTGTAGCATGCCAAGAGCCCACAACTTGTTAAACATAGAAAAGTGATGGCAGAAAAAAGTCAGAGTGGTTCATCGAGTTTTTGTTTTTGTGTGTGTGTGTTTTTTTTTATTTCGGGGGGCTTGGTTTTTTTTTTTGGGGGGGGGGTTATGTTTTTCTTTTGTTTTGTTTTTTTGTTGTTCATTTTTTTTAAATCTGAGTATAGATCTATGCTTGTCCCAAGCATGTTTGAAGCAGGGGCGGACTGACAACTCATGGGGCAATAGGAAATCATGGGGCCCCTGTGTCCTCGCTCACACTCAAACCACACCCTATGAAAGTTACCAGAAGCATATCATGGGGCCCCCTATTGTCCCTGGGCCCTTGGGCAGTACCTAAATGGTCAGTCCGCCCCTGATTGAAGCTATTTACTGGCTCGCTACCTCTGCTGGAAGTTCACTCCAAGCATCAACTACTCCTTCAGTAAAATACTTTCTGATATTAGTTGTGAACAACGGATGTCTTGTGATGTGTTTCTGGATCTGTCACCCGAATCAATGACTGTTCAATCGTTCAGCTGAAACACGAGATTTGTAGCGGCGGAGTCCGCGGGGTTTATTCAGGAATTGTCCATGTTGATCGGTTCCCCCCCCCCCACTCCTGTGTACACATGGAAAACTTACAGGCTGACAAAGCAAGCATTGCGTGAGAACGGCCTCTACACAAACAGACGGATCCGCAAAGCCGTGTACAAACTTGGAAGGTAAACATTTTTTGTGGCAGGGTTGCCTGTACCTGGACGAGATGTATGATCATGCCCAGGGGCGGACTGACAACTCATGGGGCCCCCGGGCAATAAGGGATCATGAGGCCCCTGTGTCCTTGCCCAAACTCAAAAAAGCCTATGAAAAAGGCACTAGGGGCATTTCCTGGGGCCCCATACTGACCCCGGGCCCTCGGGCAATAGGGGATCATGAGGCACCTGTGTCCTTGCCCACACTCAAAAAAGCCTATGAAAAAGGTACCAGGAGCATCTCATGGGGCCCCCTACTGACCCTGTGCCCTCGGGCAGTGCCCGAGTTTCCAAATGGTCAGTCCGCCCCTGATCATGCCTATTCCAATATCTGCTCTGCCAAGCTGCCCCCACACTGGATGGTATAGCTTTGGACATCGCTTACCTAGTAAAACGCTTGCGTTGATTCCGCTGCACACTGTGAGCATCTCATGGGGGGGGGTGAATTAGAGATTGCAGGAAGTCAGATACAGCTCACCTCATTTCCTGGATTGGGAACATTCAGCGTCATCTAGCTCTTTTCTCCCCAGCTTGACTGGCCGGCCCCTTTCTATAATTGGATTTCAGTTCTTTCAATCATTACCAGGGGCGGACTGACCATTTGGGAACTCGGGCACTGCCCGAGGGTCTGGGGTCAGTAGGGGGCCCCATGAGATGCCCCTGGTACCTTTCATAGGCTTTTTTTGGGTGTGGCTTGAGTGTGGGCGAGGACACAGGGGCCCCATGATCCCCTATTGCCCGGGGGGCCCCATGAGTTGTCAGTCCGCCCCTGATCAGCACCACATGTGGGCGTTCCCCAGGGCAGCCTGCATGCATCATCTGGCCCACGGGTGGCAGCCTCCCAGCTGTTGCCAAACTAAAAAAAAGGTATTGAAGATTGACAGTTACAAGCATGACTCCCATAGGCAGAGGCATGATGGGACTTGATAGAGGGCCTCCAGGTGGACACCCGTTTTCTACCCTTTCCTCCCAAGCCTGACCCTTTTATTTATTGTATTTCAGTTCTCTCCATCACAGAGGCTCAATGTCACATGCGGGCGTTACCTACGGTGGTCTTTTCTCAAATACAGCCTGCTAACGAACACCCATTGCTCCAGACTGACACCCAGCCTTCAAGGCATTTTTGATATTTGTATAAGGGCTGAGGGCAGGGTGCCTTGAGATATTCAGGAAGCTTTATACAGCACCCTGCCAGTTCCTCCTACCAGACATCATCTGCCTGCATTGCATAGAGAAGCACAGAGACCCAGTGATGACATCACTGGGACTAAATTAATTGCTTCCCCTTCACTCACGCATAAATACTGCTACAGGGCACCAGGGGTGTGCAAAATCACACACACACACACACATATATATATATATATATATATATATATATATATGTGTGTGTGTGTGTGATTTAGCATTTCTGGATAGGGGGCGCGTGCGTGCTTCACCTGCTCCGCCATTAGCGGCCTCGACTGTCAATCACCGGGTCCCTGCCGGTGATTAGTCGCTGGCACCCAGTGATCGCTGAGTATCTCTGACAGGGGAGAGACCTGCGTATAAACAACACAGATCTCTCCCGTCAGCTCCTGCACACTGCTTTGTATGGCTCTGCATAGCACAGCCACACAAAGCAGTGTGCTTACAGTATAAAGCACTCACAGCACACATAGTGAACCCTTTGATCGCCCCACATGTTAACCCCTTCCTGCCCAGTGCCATTAATAAGTGTCAATGCTTTTTTATTAGCACTGATCACTGTATTGGCATCACTGGGGATGTCAGTGACACCAAGTCAGCCCCCCCCCCCAGTGGGAAAATGCCCGCCGCAGTCCCACTATAAGTTGCTGATTGCCGACATTACTAGTAAAAAAAAAAAGAAATCCCAGTATCTTTCCCGCCATTTGTAAACGCTCTAATTTTCCCGTAAACCATGTAATTTCCATGTATTGGGATTTTGTTTAGCGAAGACACGGAGCAGAATACATTTTGGCCAAAATTTATGATGAAATTTGATTTTTTAAAACATTTTTTTACTGGACATGTTTAATAGCAAAAAGTCAAAAATATTGTTTTTTTTCTCAAAATTGTCGGTCTTCTTTTTTGCTTATAGCGCAAAAAATAAAAACCACAGAGGTGTTCAAATGCCACCGAAAGCTGTATTTGTGGGAAATAAGGACATAAATTTCATTTGGGTGCAGCGTTGCATGCAGGGCGGACTGACAACTCATGGGGCCCCCATGCAATAGGGGATCATAGGGCCCCTGTGTACTTGCCCAAACTCAAAAGAGCCTATGAAAAAGATACCAGGGGCATCTCATGGGGCCCCCTACTGACCCCGGGCCCTCGGGCAGTGCCCGAGTTTCCAAATGGTCAGTCCGCCCCTGGTTGCATGACCGTGCAATTGTCAGGTAAATTAACGCAGCACCATATCAGTGGTGTATTTAGGTTTTGTGCTGCCCTAGGCAACACAAAAATTGGCACCCCTCCCCCCACGGGGAGACCCTGACACTGACCAACACCCCTCTCTCCCAGGAAGAGAGCCTGACATTGACCAACAACACCTCAGCCCCCCCCACCCAAGAGAGTCTTCCACTACTACCGCCCCCCATACACTGGCAACCCCCCCACCCCTGAGAGAGAGAAGACACTCACCTTCACAGCTCTGGACATCCCCAGGAACAAGAGTCGGGCTCTGCATACACCATCGAGCAGCCCGCAGCCTCTCTCTGATCCCACCTGGTCCCCACGCTGCGTGTGTCCCTTCTTCCTTTCTTTCTTTCAGGAGGGGGGCAGTGCTGCCCCCCTGTAAAATGCCACCCTAGGCAAATGCCTTATTTGCCTGGAGGGAAATACACCCCTGCGCCGTATCGCAAAAAATGGCCTGGTCAGGAAGGGGGGGGGGGGGGGTAAATCCTCAGGAGGGCAAGTGATTTAGAAATATGTAATAAAAATGGAAATGAGTTGTTTAAAAATATTGCAATTAGCTTGCTGATGAAGGGGGGTGGTAAAAGCAAAATATAGGTAGATTCAACTTTAAAGCTGGCATTGTCTATGAAGGGCATGTATGCTGGGCTTGTATGATTAGTTATGGAGTTTGCATGTCCTCCCTGTGCCTGCGTGGGTTTCCTCCGGGTACTCTGGTTTCCTCCCACCCTCCAAAGACATGCTGGTAGGTTAATTGGCTCCTGTCTAAACTGGCCCTAGTATGTGTATGTATGAATGTGAGTTAGGGACCTTAGATTGTACGCCCCTTGAGGGTTAGGGACTGATGTGAATGTACAATATATATGTAAAGTGCTGTGTAAATTGACGGCGCTATATAAGTACCTGAAATAAATAAATAATAAAAATAAAATGTTGATGGAACGATCAATATACAGAATCCAAGGATAGGTCAGAAGTGAGTGTTCCCCAGTGTACTAGACTTCCATAGCATGCCAGTTCCAGTTGGGGAAGGGATCCCCATCTCCACAGCCACTATGCGGGCAGAATAGTTGGGGAAGGGATTTCCGTCTCCACAGCCACTATGGGGAATAGTTGGGGAAGGGATCCCCGTCTCCACAGCCACTATGGGGAATAGTTGGGGAAGGAATCCCCGTCTCCACAGCCACTATAGGGAATAGTTGGGGAAGGGATCCCCATCTCCACAGCCACTATGGGGAATAGTTGGGGAAGGGATCCCCGTCTCCACAGCCACTATGCGGAATAGTTGGGGAAGGGATCCCCGTCTCCACAGCCACTATGCAAAATAGTTGGGGAAGGGATCCCCGTCTCCACAGCCACTATGCGGAATAGTTGGGGAAGGGATCCCCGTCTCCACAGCCACTATGGGGAATAGTTGGGGAAAGGATCCCCGTCTCCACAGCCACTATGCGGAATAATTGGGGAAGGGATCCCCGTCTACACAGCCACTATGCGGAATAGTTGGGGAAGGGATCCCCGTCTCCACAGCCACTATGCGGCGGAATAGTTGGGGAAGGGATCTCCGTCTCTACAGCCACTATGCGTAATAGTTGGGGAAGGGATCCCCGTCTCCACAGCCATTATGAGGAATAGTTGGGGAAGGGATCCCCTTCTCCACAGCCACTATGCGGTGGAATAGTTGGGGAAGGGATCCCCGTCTCCACAGCCACTATGCGGCAGAATAGTTGGGGAAGGGATCCCTGTCTCCACAGCCACTATGCAAAATAGTTGGGGAAGGGATCCCCGTCTCCACAGCCACTATGCGGAATAGTTGGGGAAGGGATCCCCGTCTCCACAGCCACTATGGGGAATAGTTGGGGAAGGGATCCCCGTCTCCACAGCCACTATGCGGAATAGTTGGGGAAGGGATCCCCGTCTCCACAGCCACTATGCAAAATAGTTGGGGAAGGGATCCCCGTCTCCACAGCCACTATGCGGAATAGTTGGGGAAGGGATCCCCGTCTCCACAGCCACTATGGGGAATAGTTGGGGAAGGGATCCCCGTCTCCACAGCCACTATGCGGAATAGTTGGGGAAGGGATCCCTGTCTCCACAGCCACTATGCGGAATAGTTGGGGAAGGGATCCCCGTCTCCACAGCCACAATGGGGAATAGTTGGGGAAAGGATCCCCGTCTCCACAGCCACTATGCGGCGGAATAGTTGGGGAAGGGATCCCCGTCTCCACAGCCACTATGCGGAATAGTTGGGGAAGGGATCCCCGTCTCCACAGCCACTATGCGGCGGAATAGTTGGGGAAGGGATCCCCGTCTCCACAGCCACTATGCGGAATAGTTAGGGAAGGGATCCCCGTCTCCACAGCCACTATGCGGCGGAATAGTTGGGGAAGGGATCCCCGTCTCCACAGCCACTATGCGGAATAGTTGGGGAAGGGATCCCCGTCTCTACAGCCACTATGGGGAATAGTTGGGGAAAGGATCCCCGTCTCCACAGCCACTATGCGGAATAATTGGGGAAGGGATCCCCGTCTACACAGCCACTATGCGGAATAGTTGGGGAAGGGATCCCCGTCTCCACAGCCACTATGCGGCGGAATAGTTGGGGAAGGGATCTCCGTCTCTACAGCCACTATGGGGAATAGTTGGGGAAGGGATCCCCGTCTCCACAGCCACTATGCGGAATAGTTGGGGATGGGATCCCCGTCTCCACAGCCACTATGCGGAATAGTTGGGGAAGGGATCCCCGTCTCCACAGCCACTATGGGGAATAGTTGGGGAAGGGATCCCCGTCTCCACAGCCACTATGCGGAATAGTTGGAGAAGGGATCCCCGTCTCCACAGCCACTATGCGGAATAGTTGGGGAAGGGATCCCCGTCTCCACAGTCACTATGGGGAATGCTGATTTTATCTGGGCCTATTCACAGAGCTCTTAGGTGGCACAGCAGGAAGACAGAAGCCCACCTATTCATTACTCCTTGTGTTGTAATGCGCTCCGCCCCTTTCCAGCTGTTCTCCGCCCCTTTCCAGCTGTTCTCCGTCCCTTTCCAGCTGTTCTATGACATCATCTTCTCCACGCTTTCATCATCAGAATCTGTAAACTATAAAGAAGTCCTTGATGCCCAGCAATGTATTTCTTGAAGGTTAAAAATATTTCTTTGTGCTTTTTTTAACCAGGGCGCCACAGCACCCTCGGGTCCCATGTGGGTTCCCCAGGGTGCCGCAGGCATCAGACCCAGTTTGCCCTGGATCAGAGATGAATGTAGCGACTCTGATGTAATGGGGGGGGTCTATGGTGATGGGGACTCTCTGATATGATGGGGGGGGACTATTTTGTGATGGAGAACTCTCATGTATAGGGGGACTCGATATTATTGGAACTTTCATATATAGGAGGACTCTAATGTGATGGGGGGGGGATTTTGAAGTGATTGGGAGACCTCTCAAGGGGCTCTTATGAATAGTGAATGCTCTGATGTGATGAAGGGACTCTGATGTGAAGAGGGGACCCCTGACATGATTAGGGTCTTTAATGTGAAAGCGAAACTCTGATGTGATGTAGGGACTCTGATGTGAAGAGGGAACCTCTAATGTTATGGGGTGGGTATTGATATGAAGGGGGGGGGGGCTCTCGGGTGATGGCTGGACCCTTAACAAGATGGGCTCCTCTGATGTGATGGTAGGACCTCTGATGTGATGAGGGTCTTTAACGTGAAAGGGGGCTTTTGTGTGTGAAAGGAGAACCTCTTATCTGATAGGGGTTTTGACATGAAGGATGACTCTGATGTGAAGGAGAGAACTCTGATGTGATGAGGGGTCTTTGAGATGAAGGGGAGACTCTGGTGTGATGGGAGGGGGACCTCTGACATGATGGAGGCCTTTGACGTGACCTCCGATGTGATGAGGGTCTTTGGTGGGAAGGGGAGACTCTGATGTAATGGGGGGGACTCCAAAGTGATGGAGGTTTTTGATGTGAAGGGGGAACTGTGATGTAATGGGGGGACCTCATGGCCATAAAGGTCATTCCAGTGCATAGAGAAGAACAGAGGAGACCTGAGCTGTATTCCTGTATTGTCTTCAGGGTTAATCAATAACTGAAAGGTGTCATTTATAACCCCATGGGGTGGGGGTGGGGGTGTGGGGGGGCATTGTTGGAGTGATCCGCCAGCTGAGCCGGCACCATACTCTCAGCAGATAAAGGATGACGGGATCTCTTGTCGGCAATCTGGCACAAGGTCATGTGACCAATGAATGAGGAACTCCGCTCCATACAAAACATTGGGATGGATTCTAAGGAACACTGAAGAGCTGTTCATATGAAGAACATGAACCCGGCCAAATAATGAGCTGCCTCTGCCTGCCCTGCTTTCATGATGGATTATATAGAGGCAGGGGCGGACTGACCATTTGGAAACTCGGGCACTGCCCGAGGGCCCGGGGTCAGTAGGGGGCCCCATGAGATGCCCCTGGTACCTTTTTCATAGGCTTTTCTGAGTTTGGGCAAGGACACAGGGGCCCCATGATCCCCTATTGCCCGGGGGCCCCATGAGTTGTCAGTCCCCTGTATAGAGGCCATTTGTATTACTGTCTGTGAGCCTCTCGGAATAGGAAATCACCAATCAGGGAGGGAGGAAACATATTTTGCCTTCCCTGACTCCTCCTTCCCACTCATCTACATGGTAATCACATTAAAAAAAAAAAAACCTTACATACCTTATTTCGGACCCAGTGATGTCATCACTGGGTCTCTGTGCTTATCTATGCAATGCAGACAGATTGTAAATGGTGGGAGGGCTGGGGAATGCTGGTGGGAGGGGCCTGTATAACGCTTCCTGAAAACATCACAGCACCCTGCCACAGTACTCCTCTCAAGTGCTCTAGCCTTTGATGCAAGCAGTGGGCTGGCTTTTGGGAGGAGTTATGCAAATATCAAAATGCCTTGATGGGAGGGTGTCAGTCTGGAGGAGTGTGGGCGTTCCTAGGTAGGCTATATTTGCATGGTAACACCCACATGTGATACTGTACCTTCCAGGGGCAGACTGACAACTCATGGGGCCCCTGGGCAATAGGGGATCATGGGGCCCCTGTGTCCTTGCCCAAACTCAAAAAAACCTATGAAAAAGGTACCAGGGGCATCTCATGGGGCCCCCTACTGACCCCGGGCCCTCGGGTAGTGCCCGAGTTTCCAAATGGTCAGTCCGCCACTGGTGCGTCCCAACTTTCTGAGATGGGAACAAGGGACACCTATTAACAAAAGTATGTAGGCATACCCCTGCCACGCCCCCTTAAAGGAGAATTACAGTCCCTCGAAATCAGGATTAGTTGGGAGGTATGCGATACGCAGCCTCCATGATTGAATTGAAGTCCAATGAATGAAAGGGGTGGACGAGAAGCTCACAATGTGCAGTGACATCAGCACAAGAGAAGATCCTGTACAACCATGCAAGACTGACGGGGAGAGCTGGAGGTCAGATTTAAAGTGTTATTAAACCCAGGACCCAGCATTCACTATATCTGGTCTCCCCGGACCCTGCATTCACTATAATCCGGTCTCCCCGGACCCTGCATTCACTATATCCGGTCTCCCTGGACCCTGCATTCACTATATCTGGTCTCCCAGACCCTGCATTCACTATATCCGGTCTCCCCGGACCCTGCATTCACTATATCCGGTCTCCCCAGACCCTGCATTCACTATATCCGGTCTCCCCGGACCCTGCATTCACTATATCCGGTCTCCCCGGACCCCGCATTCACTATATCTGGTCCCCCCGTACCCTGCATTCACTATATCTGCTCTCCGTGTACCCTGCATTCACTATATCCAGTCTCCCCGGACCCTGCATTCACTATATCTGCTCTCCCCGGACCCTGCATTCACTATATCCGGTCTCCCCGGACCCTGCATTCACTACTATATCCGGTCTCCCTGGACCCTGCATTCACTATATCTGGTCTCCCCGGACCCTGCATTCACTATATCTGGTCTCTCCCGGACCCTGCATTCACTATATCTGGTCTCCCCGGACCCTGCATTCACTATATCTGGTCTCCCAGGACCCTGCATTCACTATATCTGGTCTCCCCGGACCCTGCATTCACTATATCCGGTCTCCCAGGACCCTGCATTCACTATATCCGGTCTCCCCGGACCCTGCATTCACTATATCCGGTCTCCCCGGACCCTGCATTCACTATATCTGCTCTCCCCGGACCCTGCATTCACTATATCCGGTCTCCCCGGACCCTGCATTCACTATATCCGGTCTCCCCGACCCTGCATTCACTATATCTGGTCTCCCCGGACCCTGAATTCACTATATCCGGTCTCCCCGGACCCTGCATTCACTATATCCGGTCCGGTCTCCCAGGACCCTGCATTCACTATATCCGGTCTCCCAGGACCCTGCATTCACTATATCTGGTCTCCCAGGACCCTGCATTCACTATATCTGATCTCCCCAGACCCTGCATTCACTATATCTGGTCTCCCCGGACCCTGCATTCACTATATCTGGTCTCTCCGGACCCTGCATTCACTATATCCGCTCTCCCCGGACCCTGCATTCACTATATCTGGTCTCCCAGGACCCTGCATTCACTATATCTAGTCTCCCTGGACCCTGCATTCACTATATCTGGTCTCCCCGGACCCGGCATTCACTATATCTGGTCTCCCAGGACCCTGCATTCACTATATCTGGTCTCCCTGGACCCTGCATTCACTATATCCGGTCTCGCAGGACCCTGCATTCACTATATCCGGTCTCCCAGGACCCTGCATTCACTATATCCGGTCTCCCAGGACCCTGCATTCACTATATCCGGTCTCCCCGGACCCTGCATTCACTATATCCGGTCTCCCCGGACCCTGCATTCACTATATCTGGTCTCCCCGGACCCTGCATTCACTATATCTGGTCTCGCCGGACCCTGCATTCACTGTATCTGGTCTCCCTGGACCCCGCATTCACTATATCCGGTCTCCCAGGACCCTGCATTCACTATATCCGGTCTCCTCGGACCCTGCATTCACTATATCTGGTCTCCCCGGACCCTGCATTCACTATATCCGCTCTCCCTGGACCCTGCATTCATATATCTGGTCTCCCCGGACCCTGCATTCACTATATCTGATCTCCCAGGATCCTGCATTCACTATATTCGGTCTCCCCGGACCCTGCATTCACTATGTCTGGTCTCCCCGGACCCTGCATTCACTATATCTGGTCTCTCCCCGGACCCTGCATTCACTATATCTGGTCTCTCCGGACCCATGCATTCACTATATCTGGTCTCCCCGGACCCTGCATTCACTATATCTGGTCTCCCAGGACCCTGCATTCACTATAGCTGGTCTCCCTGGACCCCGCATTCACACTATATCCTGGTCTCCCTGGACCCCGCATTCACTATATCTGGTCTCCCCGGACCCTGCATTCACTATATCTGGTCTCTCCCAGGACCCTGCATTCACTATATCCGGGTCTCCCCGGACCCTGCATTCACTATATCTGGTCTCCCTGGACCCCTGCATTCACTATATCTGGTCCCGGACCCTGCATTCACTATATCTGGTCTCCCTGGACCCCGCATTCACTATATCGGTCTCCCAGGACCCTGCATTCACTATATCCGGTCTCCCCGGACCCTGCATTCCCTATATATCTGATCTCCCTGGACCCCGCATTCACTATATCCGGTCTCCCAGGACCCTGCATTCACTATATCCGCTCTCCCCCGGACCCGGCTTCTACTATATCTGGTCTCCCAGGACCCTGCATTCACTATATCTGGTCTCCCTGGACCCCGCATTCACTATATCCGGTCTCCCAGGACCCTGCATTCACTATATCCGCTCTCCCCGGACCCGGCATTCACTATATCTGGTCTCCCCGGACCCTGCATTCACTATATCTGATCTCCCAGGATCCTGCATTCACTATATCCGGTCTCCCCGGACCCTGCATTCACTATATCCGGTCTCCCCCGGACCCTGCATTCACTATGTCTGGTCTCCCTGGACCCTGCATTCACTATATCTGGTCTCCCCGGACCCTGCATTCACTATATCCGATCTCCCCAGGACCCCGCATTCACTATAGCTGACTCCCCCGGACCCTGCATTCACTATATCCGGTCTCCCCGGACCCTGCATTCACTATATCTGGTCTCCCCGGACCCTGCATTCACTATATCTGGTCTCTCCCCGGACCCTGCATTCACTGTATCTGGTCTCCCTGCACCCCGCATTCACTATATCCGGTCTCCCAGGACCCTGCATTCACTATATCCGGTCTCCCGGACCCTGCATTCACTATATCTGGTCTCCCCGGACCCTGCATTCACTATATCCGCTCTCCCTGGACCCTGCATTCACTATATCTGGTCCCCCCCGGACCCTGCATTCACTATATCTGATCTCCCAGGATCCTGCATTCACTATATATCAGTCTCCCCGGACCCTGCATTCACTATGTCTGGTCTCCCCGGACCCTGCATTCACTATATCTGGTCTCCCCGGACCCTGCATTCACTATATCTGGTCTCCCCGGACCCTGCATTCACTATATCTGGTCTCCCAGGACCCTGCATTCACTATAGCTGGTCTCCCTGGACCCCGCATTCACTATAGCTGGTCTCCCTGGACCCCGCATTCACTATATCTGGTCTCTCCCCAGACCCTGCATTCACTATATCTGGTCTCCCAGGACCCTGCATTCACTATATATCCGGTCTCCCCGGACCCTGCATTCACTATATCTGGTCTCCCTGGACCCCGCATTCACTATAGCTGGTCTCCCCGGACCCTGCATTCACTATATCTGGTCTCCCTGGACCCTGCATTCACTATATCTGGTCTCTCCCAGGACCCTGCATTCACTATATCTGGTCTCCCTGGACCCCGCATTCACTATATATCCGGTCTCCCAGGACCCTGCATTCACTATATCCGGTCTCCCCAGACCCTGCATTCCACTATATCTGATCTCCCCTGGACCCCGCATTCACTATATCCGGTCTCCCAGGACCCTGCATTCACTATATCCGCTCTCCCCGGACCCTGCATTCACTATATCTGGTCTCCCCAGGACCCTGCATTCACTATATCTGGTCTCCCTGGACCCCGCATTCACTATATCCGGTCTCCCAGGACCCTGCATTCACTATATCCGCTCTCCCCGGACCCGGCATTCACTATATCTGGTCTCCCCCGGACCCCTGCATTCACTATATCTGATCTCCCAGGATCCTGCATTCACTATATCCGGTCTCCCCGGACCCTGCATTCACTATATCTGGTCTCCCCGGACCCTGCATTCACTATATCCGGTCTCCCAGGACCCTGCATTCACTATATCCGCTCTCCCGGACCCGGCATTCACTATATCTGGTCTCCCAGGACCCTGCATTCACTATATCTGGTCTCCCCTGGACCCCGCATTCACTATATCCGGTCTCCCAGGACCCTGCATTCACTATATCCGCTCTCCCGGACCCGGCATTCACTATATCTGGTCTCCCCGGACCCTGCATTCACTATATCTGATCTCCCAGGATCCTGCATTTCACTATATCCGGTCTCCCCGGACCCTGCATTCACTATATCTGGTCTCCCCGGACCCTGCATTCACTATATCCGGTCTCTCCCCGGACCCTGCATTCACTATATCTGGTCTCCCTGGACCCTGCATTCACTATATCTGGTCTCCCCGGACCCTGCATTCACTATATCCGGTCTCTCCCCAGACCCCTGCATTCACTATATCTGATCTCCCCGGACCCTGCATTCACTATATCCGGTCTCCCCGGACCCTGCATTCACTATATCTGGTCTCCCCGGACCCTGCATTCACTATATCTGGTCTCCCCCGGACCCTGCATTCACTGTATCTGGTCTCCCTGGACCCCGCATTCACTATATCCGGTCTCCCAGGACCCTGCATTCACTATATCGGTCTCCCCGGACCCTGCATTCACTATATCTGGTCTCCCCGGACCCTGCATTCACTATATCCGCTCTCCCTGGACCCTGCATTCACTATATCTGGTCTCTCCCCGGACCCTGCATTCACTATATCTGATCTCCCAGGATCCTGCATTCACTATATCCAGTCTCCCGGACCCTGCATTCACTATATCTGGTCTCCCCGGACCCTGCATTCACTATATCTGGTCTCCCCGGACCCTGCATTCACTATATCTGGTCTCTCCGGACCCTGCATTCACTATATCTGGTCTCCCCGGACCCTGCATTCACTATATCTGGTCTCCCAGGACCCTGCATTCACTATAGCTGGTCTCCCTGGACCCCGCATTCACTATAGCTCTGGTCTCCCTGGACCCCGCATTCACTATATCTGGTCTCCCCGGACCCTGCATTCACTATATCTGGTCTCCCAGGACCCAGCATTCACTATATCCGGTCTCCCCGGACCCTGCATTCACTATATCTGGTCTCCCTGGACCCCGCATTCACTATATCTGGTCTCCCCGGACCCTGCATTCACTATATCTGGTCTCCCTGGACCCTGCATTCACTATATCTGGTCTCCCAGGACCCTGCATTCACTATATCTGGTCTCCCTGGACCCGCATTCACTATATCCGGTCTCCCAGGACCCTGCATTCACTATATCCGGTCTCCCAGGACCCTGCATTCACTATATCTGATCTCCCTGGACCCCGCATTCACTATATCCGGTCTCCCAGGACCCTGCATTCACTATATCCGCTCTCCCCCGGACCCGGCATTCACTATATCTGGTCTCCCAGGACCCTGCATTCACTATATATCTGGTCTCCCTGGACCCCGCATTCACTATATCGGTCTCCCAGGACCCTGCATTCACTATATCCGCTCTCCCCGGACCCGGCATTCACTATATCTGGTCTCCCCGGACCCTGCATTCACTATATATCTGATCTCCCAGGATCCTGCATTCACTATATCCGGTCTCCCCGGACCCTGCATTCACTATATCTGGTCTCCCCGGACCCTGCATTCACTATATCCGGTCACTCTCCCCGGACCCTGCATTCACTATGTCTGGTCTCCCCGGACCCTGCATTCACTATATCTGGTCTCCCCGGACCCTGCATTCACTATATCCGATCTCCCAGGACCCCGCATTCACTATATCTGATCTCCCCGGACCCTGCATTCACTATATCCGGTCTCCCCGGACCCTGCATTCACTATATCCGGTCTCCTCGGACCCTGCATTCACTATATCTGGTCTCCCTGGACCCCCGCATTCACTATATCCGGTCTCCCAGGACCCTGCATTCACTATATCTCGCTCTCCCCGGACCCGGCATTCACTATATCTGGTCTCCCCGGACCCTGCATTCACTATATCTGATCTCCCAGGATCCTGCATTCACTATATCGGTCTCCCCGGACCCTGCATTCACTATGTCTGGTCTCCCCGGACCCTGCATTCACTATATCTGGTCTCCCCGGACCCTGCATTCACTATATCTGGTCTCTCCGGACCCTGCATTCACTATATCTGGTCTCCCCGGACCCTGCATTCACTATATCTGGTCTCCCAGGACCCTGCATTCACTATAGCTGGTCTCCCTGGACCCCGCATTCACTATATCTGGTCTCCCTGGACCCCGCATTCACTATATCTGGTCTCCCCCGGACCCTGCATTCACTATATCTGGTCTCCCAGGACCCTGCATTCACTATATCCGGTCTCCCCGGACCCGCATTCACTATATCTGGTCTCCCAGGACCCTGCATTCACTATAGCTGGTCTCCCCTGGACCCCGCATTCACTATAGCTGGTCTCCCTGGACCCCGCATTCACTATATCTGGTCTCCCCGGACCCTGCATTCACTATATCTGGTCTCCCAGGACCCTGCATTCACTATATCCGGTCTCCCAGGACCCTGCATTCACTATATCTGGTCTCCCTGGACCCCGCATTCACTATATCTGGTCTCCCCGGACCCTGCATTCACTATATCTGGTCTCCCTGGACCCTGCATTCACTATATCTGGTCTCCCAGGACCCTGCATTCACTATATCTGGTCTCCCTGGACCCCGCATTCACTATATCCGGTCTCCAGGACCCCTGCATTCACTATATCCGGTCTCCCCAGACCCTGCATTCCCTATATCTGATCTCCCTGGACCCCGCATCCTTGCATTCACTATATCCGGTCTCCCAGGACCCTGCATTCACTATATCCGCTCTCCCCGGACCCGGCATTCACTATATCTGGTCTCTCCCAGGACCCTGCATTCACTATATCTGGTCTCCCTGGGACCCCGCATTCACTATATCCGGTCTCCCAGGACCCTGCATTCACTATATCGCTCTCCCCGGACCCGGCATTCACTATATCTGGTCTCCCCGGACCCTGCATTCACTATATCTGATCTCCCAGGATCCTGCATTCACTATATCCGGTCTCCCCGGACCCTGCATTCACTATATCTGGTCTCCCCGGAACCTGCATTCACTATATCCGGTCACCCCGGACCCTGCATTCACTATGTCTGGTCTCCCCGGACCCTGCATTCACTATATCTGGTCTCCCCGGACCCTGCATTCACTATATCCGATCTCCCCAGACCCCGCATTCACTATATCTGATCTCCCCGGACCCTGCATTCACTATATCCGGTCTCCCCGGACCCTGCATTCACTATATTCCGGTCTCCTCGGACCCTGCATTCACTATATCTGGTCTCCCTGGACCCCGCATTCACTATATCCGGTCTCCCAGGACCCTGCATTCACTATATTCGCTCTCCCCGGACCCGGCATTCACTATATCTGGTCTCCCCGGACCCTGCATTCACTATATCTGATCTCCCAGGATCCTGCATTCACTATATCCGGTCTCCCCGGACCCTGCATTCACTATGTCTGGTCTCCCCGGACCCTGCATTCACTATATCTGGTCTCCCCGGACCCTGCATTCACTATATCTGGTCTCTCCGGACCCTGCATTCACTATATCTGGTCTCCCCGGACCCTGCATTCACTATATATCTGGTCTCCCAGGACCCCTGCATTCACTATAGCTGGTCTCCCTGGACCCCGCATTCACTATAGCTGGTCTCCCTGGACCCTGCATTCACTATATCTGGTCTCCCCGGACCCTGCATTCACTATATCTGGTCTCCCAGGACCCTGCATTCACTATATCCGGTCTCCCCGGACCCCGCATTCACTATATCTGGTCTCCCTGGACCCCGCATTCACTATATCTGGTCTCCCCGGACCCTGCATTCACTATATCTGGTCTCCCCGGACCCTGCATTCACTATATCTGGTCTCCCAGGACCCTGCGCATTCACTATATCTGGTCTCCCTGGACCCCGCATTCACTATATCCGGTCTCCCAGGACCCTGCATTCACTATATCGGTCCCCCCGGACCCTGCATTCACTATATCTGGTCTCCCTGGACCCGCATTCACTATATCCGGTCTCCCAGGACCCTGCATTCACTATATCCTGGTCTCCCCGGACCCTGCATTCACTATATCTGGTCTCCCAGGACCCCGCATTCACTATATCTGGTCTCCCTGGACCCCGCATTCACTATATCCGGTCTCCAGGACCCTGCATTCACTATATCCGCTCTCCCGGACCCGGCATTCACTATATCTGGTCTCCCCGGACCCTGCATTCACTATATCTGATCTCCCAGGACCCTGCATTCACTATATCTGGTCTCCCCGGACCCTGCATTCACTATATCCGGTCTCCGGACCCTGCATTCACTATATCTGGTATCCGGACCCTGCATTCACTATATCTGGTCTCCCCGGACCCTGCATTCACTATATCTGGTCTCCCGGTTGCATTCACTATATCTGGTCTCCCCCCGGACCCTGCATTCACTATATCTGGTCTCCCCGGACCCTGCATTCACTATATCTGGTCCCCCGGACCCTGCATTCACTATATCTGGTCTCCCGGACCCTGCATTCACTATATATCTGGTCTCCCAGGACCCTGCATTCACTATATCCGGTCCCTGGTCCCTGCATTGGACTATATCTGGTCCCCGCATTCACTATATCGGTCTCCCAGGACCCTGCATTCACTATATATCCAGGGTCTCACCCCGGACCCTGCATTCACTATATTCTGGTCTCCCAGACCCCTGCATTCACTATATCTGGTCTCCCCCGGACCCTGCATTCACTATATCTGGGTCCCTCCACCCCAGGACCCTGCATTCACTATATCTGGTCTCCCCGGACCCTGCATTCACTATATCTGGTCTCCCCCAGGACCCTGCATTCACTATATATCCCTCTCCCCGGACCCTGCATTCACTATATCTGGTCTCCCCCGGACCCTGCATTCACTATATCTGGTCTCCCCAGGACCCTGCATTCATCTGGTCTCCCGGACCCTGCATTCACTATATCTCCCTCTCCGGACCCTGCATTCACTATATATCTGGTCTCCCCGGACCCTGCATTCACTATATCTGGTCTCCCGGACCCTGCATTCACACTATATCTGGTCTCCCCGGACCCTGCATTCACCCCGGCATTCACTACCCTGCATTCACTATATCTGGTCTCCCAGGACCCTGCATTCACTATATCTGGTCTCCCCGGACCCTGCATTCACTATATCCGGTCTCCCAGGACCCTGCATTCGGTCTCCCCGGACCCTGCATTCACTCCCTGGTCTCCCCCGGACCCTGCATTCACTATATCCGGTCTCCCCCGGACCCTGCATTCACTATATCTGGTCTCTCCCCCCGGACCCTGCATTCACTATATCCGGTCTCCCCCGGACCCTGCATTCACTATATCCTGGTCTCCCGGACCCTGCATTCACTATATCTGGTCTCCCCGGACCCTGCATTCACTATATCTGGTCTCCCCGGACCCTGCATTCACTATATCCGGTCTCCCCGGACCCTGCATTCACTATATCCGGTCTCCCAGGACCCTGCATTCACTATATCTGGTCTCCCAGGACCCTGCATTCA